TATTCTTTGATGCCTAGACTTCAACATAGATTGATCTGCTTATAATAAAACACTGCATCACTTGTTTATATTCGGGGCTTGCAAATCATGAAAAACTCCCGGTGTTGTTCTGGGGGAAGACATTATTTTTCTACTTACGGTCTCTGGTTAAGGAATGTGGTCTGGGACCATCCTGTTGCTTGTAGAGAATCAATGAATGATCCAAAATTGGATCAAATAATGTCGGTGATTTTTTATTTTTGGTGAGGCTTTGGACCTATGTTGCGGTTCTAGGGGAGGAGTCTTCTCTAGTGGAGTCCGTTGTGGCTCCCTAATGGCCTAATGGGTTATGGGAAAGCGGGGAAATGAATTTTTCCATATCTGAATTTGACCTATGTTCTGGTGTGAGAAGATTTTATTCATTCATTATTAATCAATCCTCATGTTAGAGTTGCATAGAAGCTTGATTTACCTTAATGAAATATATAGTTTTTAATTATTGTACTTGTAAACCAGAGAAGAATAAATGAGTCATTTAGATGATTGACCGTTACAAATTTGTAATTAAAAGTTATGAGTGGTCGAGATTTTTTTATTTTCTTCTTAAAATGAGATATGTTTATTTTTCAAACTTTTTATTTTTTAATTTTTTTAATTAACTAATTAGTTGCTCTTATTTTGTTTTATAATTTTCAATTAATTGTTTGTTCATTCTTATTGTGCTCTTTCCAACTTAGCTTCTCTTACTTGTTTCTTATTCTCGAAATATTTTGAGTTTCTTGAAGCATTTCTATGCACAAATGTTTGCATATAATTTCTCACTCCTATAGAATACTTTTTTTTGTAGCATATTTATTTGTACTCTATAAAAAAAAATGCTAGAATTATTTAGTTAAAAATTAGAGAGTTGAGGAATCAATTATAAATCTTCTATTTTTCTGAGAGATTCCTAGGTCGGTTATGCAATGAACGCGTGTTTATTTTTTTGTAGCGCTTGTTATTTATCATGATAATGTTAAGTTTACTACTTTTTACTTTTGTTTTTAATTGTAATTCTAGCTTAACAATCTTTTATACTATCATCGTTCTTCATGGTTGATCATTTAGTATTTGCAACATACGATCCTTTACATTCTGGTATGCAATGCATTTAGAGTTTTAGATGAGTAAAAAAAAAGAAAAAAACATAAAAACCATGATATGTGATGCAAAGAAGCATGTAACACGTACCTCTCAAGAGTTATAGACTTCATATTTTTTGACGAAGTCATGAATTAAGTGATTATAGTAAACTGTATTTATTAAGAATTCCTTTTGAATAAGTGTATTTCTAACACTACTTTCGTAATATTACACATATTTAATATTAATTACAGTAATATAATAAACAATGTCTATCAAAGAATTTCAAATAGAATCAAGTTTGTGTTTTTTGAGCTGCAATTTAAAAGATGCAAAAAGAATAAGATTTGTTTTTTCAGCATTGGTGGTTTAATAAAAAATAGAATAAAATGTTGAGCACAGAAATTTTAAACAAAAAAAGAAATTAGAATATAAAGGATGTGAAGTGTGAACTATAAGAGATTCATGTTTGATTCAGTATATACAATAGTTTAAATGAATTATTACCGGCGTAAACAAAAACACGGATTTAGGGTTTATTCACAAGAAAAAATCACTCTAAGACCGATATATCCCTTATGGAAATGCCTCCCCTTCTTTTAATAAAAAGGATTTTAATGAATGAAAATATTGAAAATATTTAAATTAAATTGGAATTGAATCAATTGATATAAACAACTATGAACCAATACTTTAAAAATTAAATTGAAATTGAATTAGTGAAATTATAAACTAATTATGTACCCGTTAAGGTATTATATTTTTCAACTAATTTTGAATAAAGATTCAATTTTAATAGGTTGATTTAACCAACTTATGATCTATAAATATGTCAATTTTTTTTAAAAAAATCATTGTTATGAATATATTTCTAATTTTAACTATTTGAAAAAATAAAATAAAATAAACTTAATTTCAATACACTTACAATTTGTTAAAAAAATTTACATCACTAGAAGGATTTAAATTAGAATTTAATTTTAATATATTTTTGGGAAAAACATATATCCTTTCAAAGGATATAACCTTATATCATTTTAGATCCTAACCGTTGATTTTCATCCATCAACGGTTATAATCTATTAATTAATTATTTAATAAATTATTAATTAATTAATTAATAATTTTGATCCAATAAATTAATGGGCCAAATTTATTATTAATTAATTAATAATTTTGATCCAATAAATTATAACCGTTGATGGACAGAAATCAACGGTTAGGATCTAAAATGATGCAATAAAAATTTCTATTTGTTTAAAGAAGATATTCAGTTTCGAAACTTTTTTCTTTTAGCTTGGTTAAAGTTAACAATTCATTAATTTGTAGTGTTTTAAATTTATTGTATTCTATGTTGTCTTGTTTGCTTGGTTATGCATGATTATTTGTTGTTTGCATACTTTTTTTTAAGGTGGTTTTAAAAAAAAATTAATTAAGTTTCGAGGACGAAACTTCTTTTAAGGAGGGTAGAATGTAATACCCCATATTTTTATTAACTTTAACCTTATGCCTTTTAGTTAATTTGAGGAGCTCAAACTTTTAAGTTTCGAGGACGAAACTTCTTTTAAGGAGGGTAGAATGTAATGCCCCATATTTTTATTAATAAAATAATAATAATAATAATGATAACAATAAACTATAAATTAGTAGTAATAATATATATATATATATATTTTATGGTGATAGATAACAAAGTAGAATATTAATTTTATTTTTGATAAAATTATTTTGTGCGATATGAGTGTTATTGGAAAATTAATTTTATACTTTGTAATACTCTAGATAATTTATAATAACATAATATTAATATGTATATATATATATATATTAGATGATAAATTGTAATTAATTGGATTATTAATTGATTGATGATTTAAGCATTTATGTTTGATAGAAAATGTTTGATTGATAATGATTGATTAATAATGATTGATTGGTAATGATTGATTGGTAATGTTCGATTGGTAATGATTGATTGGTAATGATTGATTGGTAATGTTTGATTGGTAATGATTGATTGGTAATGATTGATTGGTAATTTGATTAGATATGATGAGTCAATAATGAGTCAATAATGAGTCAGCCTTGAGTTAGCAAATAAGTTAGCTGTAATCTGAGCCATAAGAAATTAATAAGAAAATAGTGTATAAAGCCAAAATCTGAGCCAGATACATCAATAAAGAATAAGGAAATAAATGCACGAAATCCATATCTGAGCCCAAAACTTCAACTATAAATAGAGGTCTAGCCTAACCAAACCAATTCACTCTTCAACATTTCTCATCTACTATTCTCTCTTCTTAGTTCAAAAACTTAGTTTAATTTATTTTATATTCTTCTGGTTACCAACCGGTTCTCTGCCTCAAATTTCTCTAATCTCTAGGTGGTTGTAGAGATTATAATCTATGCTCCACTAGTGAAAAATTTGAAAAATTTGAATTAGGTTATATATACGGTTAAAACTTAAAACCCTGTTCGGAGTAAAACCCTATTGCGAGTAAAACCCTATTGCAAGCGTGGTCCCTCCCTGCGGTTCGGCGCTCTCTCTCTCTCTCTGTTGTTCGGGTAAGATGATTTTTGTTTTGTCGTATTTTGCTTTGCTGGGAATATAACTTCTCAATAAAATTGTCAATTAGATACAATTAGTGAAGAAGTGTAAAAGAGGTCATGAGTCATGTTATTTGATCACAACCATTCATTGATTTATTATATAATTTTTAAATGGGGAATGATTGCTTTTCTAAAGGTAGAAACTTTTTGTCTGCCTCAAAAGAGAAAAAATAGAGTGGGGTCTATTTATCATATTTATAGTTTCTCTCTCTTCTTTTTCTCTTCACCGCAAGGCAAATGCCCATGCCCTTTTTTTTAATATATACACGATACAGTTTTGTCATGAAAAATTATTATTATTTGTTTTTTGTTTTTCTCATAAAGTTGCTTCTCTCTCAATAAAATTGCTTACTCAAAATTTCAGTGTTTTTTTTTTTCTTTTTAAGAAAAAACCCTTCCGTTCCGATATGAATGGCAAACTCGGCGGGATTAGGGACTTCTTGGTTACTATCTGTGTTTTCGCTTTTCTCCTCTCTTTTTTTTTTGAATAATTTTACTCTTAAAGTTTGCTTTTGAATAAAAAAACATCCATAGTGTAGAAAACACCATACTCTTCCTTAACAGCTGCGTGCCCCTCCTCCATTATTGCTCTTATTTAAACCCTTCAAAGTGTGATTATATTTGTTGTTTAAACAGGGACAATAATAAAAGAAACACATAAATGTATTAATGGTGATAAAGAGGGTATGGGTATTTTCTATATCACAGAGCCATTACTGTTTAAAAAAAGGTTAAAGGGTATTTTTGATTTTAAAGCAAACCATAGGAATATTATTAAAGTTTTTCCCAAATTTTTTTATTTCTGGTGTCGGGGAATATGGGTTTTGGATAGTTTTGAGTTTTTTTGGCCTGGGTTTATGCAAGTTGTAAAAAAAAAATTGTCCGAATTTGGTGTTTTGATGTCAATTTCTTTTTTAATCTAATTCACTGGTATATGCATGCCAGCGTTTGTGTTATAAAAAATGTGATTTTTTTTTGGTAATTTATAAAAAATGTGATTTACTTTGCGCAAAAATGTGTTTGATATATGGTGTTATTTAATATTTGATTTTTTTCCTCGTATGGTGCTATATTTTATCCCTAAATTAATTATGCTTGTTGAATTGGGTTACATTATTTTTGCTGGGACTGTTGCTATCTTTTTTTTTTTTTGGCACCTTGTTTGGGCTATCCAATATGTGATTGATGTATTGTTTCTTTGATGCCTTTGCAGCAAAGTGTGCCTTCTGGATCCTAAGAATTTGGAAATCAAAACATTATCCTCAAACAATTTGTTTTAATACATCGTTATGGGTGCTACTAAAACAACAGTACAAGGTAAGAAATCAAATTTCAAGTTACTACTTACTACCAAAAGGGTTGAAGTTGATTCTGGATTGAAAAAGTATGAATTTATAGAAAAAGCATCCCACTTTGATGAGAATGAGTGCTCTAATTCAAAGGAAAAATCCTCTATGACAGGTTCCATCAAGAGAGGACCACAAGGTATTATCGAGGGCCATAAAGAGAAAAGGCAGAAGATAGATCGGAAAACATCTCTTCTGTGTACTGCCATTCTGAAGAGTCTAACATCCCACAGACATGGCTGGGCTTTTAATAAGCCAGTGGATCCTGTGGCATTGAATATTCCAGATTATTTTACAGTCATATCTCATCCCATGGATTTAGGCACTATTAAATCCAAGCTGGAAAAAAATATTTACTTTAGCATTGAGGAATTTGCAGCTGATGTTAGATTGACCTTTTCAAATGCCATGACATATAATCCTCCTATGAATGCTGTTCATTTAATGGCAACGGAGCTCAAAAAAATATTTGAGAGAAAATGGAAAGACTTGGAGAAAAAATGCAAGTGTGAAAATGAGAATGAAAAAAATTTGACTGGAGCAGTGAGGGGACATGTGAGAAAATTTTGTAATAGGATGCGTCCCCTGCAAAAGGATACCTTGCCCAAAAAGATGCAAGTACCTGAAATGAAAGAAATTCAGAAGATTAGTTCATTGGATGGAAGACATGCTAAAGTAAGTATTGTTTTCTTCGAGGGAAGTAAGCCTCATTGGAATTTGCGAAAATGTAATACATGTGTTGGAATTGATGTAACATAATGTTGCTTGTTATTGTGTTTTGCTTGTTTTATGTATGTTCATAATATTTTTTAATTGTGGCAATACTTTGATTATATAGGTTGAGGTTCCTAAGTCGTTACAGACTCGTTGCAAATTGATTCAGAAAAACTTACACAAAGGTACAAAGCATTAAGTCGTTACAGATTCGTTGCAAATGATTTGTGATATGTGACGTTCTACCTGTAACTTATTCGATAATTTGGAATGCACTGATGATGTGGATAGTATGTGAAGGGGCTGCAAGTTGTCTCGATAGTGAACATGGATGTTATACTTCTCACCTTACATCACCTGTTACTGATTCCCTTTCTAGAGAAGGTCAACTTTTCCATTTATGCTTCATTTAATTGCTACTGCACTTTATATTGTGAATTGGTATGACTCTAATTGCTATTTTTTTTTCCAGAATGGAGCACTCCTGTTTATGATGTACTGTTATCACCCAAACAGGCTATCCGTGTTGCTACACTGAAGCGCCGCTTTGCAGATACTATCCGTAAAGCACAAAATGAAACACTTTTGGACCAGGTAAGGCTTTTGCATATCTTGGTTATGGTACTTTCTCCTTGTGTTTTAATAGTTTGTAGTTTTGAATGTAGCATTATTCCCCAACTCCTTTTGCCTTTCTTTGTTTAGGGTGTGAAAATGAAGATGCAAAAGGAAAGGGAAAGGAAGCAGCATGAAGGTGAATATAGCATCTGTCATTTCCATACTTGGGGAAAAAAATTAATTTGGTTTAATATAACTTTATGATTGTTTTCATATTTAAATGCTCATTATCTTAGTTGAATTTTGATTTGGGGACTATGAAGCTTTATTTCTAGCTTTTATATAATATAAATGCTGCATTTTGCTTCATTTACACTGTTGTGGTAGCTGCAAGAATGAAAGCCAATGAAGCGTTTAAGCAGCAAAGAGAAAAAGAAAGAGAAGCTGAACGAGTCAGAATACAAAAGGTTTTGTTCTTGTATAATATATTTTTTATAATGGTTTTTCAAAATGACAACATGAAGTTTCACTCTATGTGTCTTCTTTGGTAGATTGAAAGAACTGTTGAGATACAGAATGACTTGACGATTTGGGAGGAGCTTGAAATGTTGTGTGGGGGTAAGCTGTGTTATGGAGACTTCAGCAGTAAACATTGCTCTAGAGTTGCAATGGATAAATCTCGTGCTCAAAACCCACTCGAGCGGCTTGGTTTATTTTTCAAGGATGACTATATTACCTCAGATGAAGATGTGGAGGATTTGAATGATTTGTGTTGAGAAATATAGTCCCACATTGGTCACATTAGTTGCACATACAACCAATGTGGGACTATATATCTCAACAATTTGGAAGAAGGGGAAATTTGTTATTAAGAGATTTGATACTGTTCATAGTTGTTTACACTTTTTTTTGGTTGGAACGGTTTTGAGAGATTTGAGTATTTGACATTGTTCTTTCTGCTATGCTTGTTTATACCTTTTTTCGGCGGAATCAATTATGGTCAATGAAAATATTTCTGTTCATTATTCCTTGTGTTATCTTGTGATGTTTATAGTGTTACGAATTGATTAATAAGATATATTTGTAATAGAAGATTATATGTATTCTATGTAATGATTATTAAATGTAATATTTGGGTGAAATAAAACTCTTGAAAGAGAAAAGCCAGAGAGAGCACTGTTGTGTTTTTCACTCTTGGTGTGATTGCATCTATGAAAAATGAAAGTGTAACGTAAGCGGGGTGAAACCCTTCTGAATGAAACCTTAAAATTTTAAAAATCCACGAACTGAGGTAAGCATTTGTTTCTTTTTTTCTAAGACTGTAAATTTTGTTAATATAATTATAGGCGATCATTTACCTAAAAAAATATATACATATATTTTGGTGTCGTTGTCTTGCTGATAAACTTAAACTCATTTGTGCTTTCTATGTTTTCTATTTCAATTTCATATTTGTATCATTATGAAAAGTATATGCATTGAAGAAGTATCAGGGGTAGTTAGTATTTCCTATTAGTCTTAATAATATTTGTAATTTTATAATTTTATTTTTATCCCCTGTTATAAAAAATCCCGGGTCTGCCAGAGAAATTTGAATTCATTCATACACGACTTCAGCAAATGGATCTCTGTTGCTCCATCTTCTTCGTTACCAATTAATTCCCCCTATGACACAACCAACATAAATACTAGAGAAATGCATTTCATTAAATACAAATTTTAATAAAGCAGTATAAGATGTAACAAAATCAGACTTATGCCAAAATCAAAAAAAAAAATTGATTACCTTCACTAATTTCCCTTTTATTATAGCAATAGCTTTAGCATTTTATGTAACGAAGAAGATGCTGATTTGGAAACCCAGAATATTGTTTGACTTGCATCGATCTGGGTTAAATCACATGCAAGTCCTCACGTGCAACCTTGTATTTCGCGTTACTTTGCCAAGTTCTCAATCCATATATAGTTTCCTCTCTTTTCTAAAATCTAAATTTTCTCTTGAAGTAAAGACTGCCCATAACAATGCTAGTTAAGCATGTATCGTGCAATATCATCCTTCATTCCATTGAATATGATATAAAATAATATCCCAATGTCATGCAAAGTTTTAGGACATTCTTTGCTCAGTTTTGTGTAACCCCAGATAGTCACGATACATCTTATTTGTGGTGAAATCTGTATTTGACTTGTTGGTCCGTATAAGACCTCTAATAGCTTTAGTGAAAATATGAACAAGGTAATGGATCCGATGGTCAATATTGCAGGTGGTAATGGTGCTGCAAAAGAGTACCATGGTGGCCTCCTTTTTAATTTTGTTTAATTTTTTTCAGTCTTCGGATAGAAAGTATTGATGTGATTGGAGTTTGAATTTTGTTTTTATAGCCTGGAAATTTAACCTTTTTGTATGTGGTTACTGTATAATATAGCAGTGCATGGAATGAAATCACATGCCTAAACTCTTCTAACACGACATGAAATAAAACTATTTTCTTTCTATAACTGTATCATTTATATATTGTAGGTCTTAGTTATGCCTTCAGCTGTTGTGGGGACAGTACGCTCATTGGAGCGTGACTCTAATGCCTGCAAGGTTGCAAGAGCTGGAGATAACGTAGCTGTAACATTGCTAGGTGTAGATGGAAGTCATGTAATGGCAGGAGGTGTACTATGCCATCCTGACTTTCCTGTCACAGTTGCAAAGCATTTGGAGTTGAAAGTACTTCTCTTGGATGGTGCAAGTCCCTTATTGGTGGGCTCTCAGGTGTGTACGATATGTATGAGATATTCTTACAGTTTATTATCCAATTTCTATTCATTGGGGGAAAAAAATTCAATTTTCTTTTTCTATACGTGCAGTTAGAGTTTCATATACACCATGCAAAGGAACCTGCTAGAGTTTCAAAAATATTGTCAGTACTTGATCCCAAGACTGGTAAGGTAACCAAAAAGTCCCCACGCTGTCTTACTGCAAAGCAAAGTGCAGTAATTGAGGTAAATAAACAATGCAAAACTTGCTTTTTAAATAATCTTACCCGAATTTTTGTTCGTCTTCGATGCCACGGACTCAAAAAAACTTGGAATGACTTTTATTGTCTCTGATTTCAGGTGATTTTGCACGAGACAGTCTGTGTAGTAGAGTTCTCTAGTTGCAAAGCTCTTGGAAGGGTGTCCTTAAGATCATTAGGAAGAACAATTGCTGTTGGACTTGTGACAAGAATTATTGAAGATGAAAATTAGTTTATGATATTCGTCATAAAAGATTAGATGATGATAACATGGAGAATTTAATGGTATTTTCAGTAAACATCTTTGTTTGCCATCTAAGTCTAGAATTAGATGCTGGCATATGTGACTCTTGTTGAGTTTCTCGGGTCAATATGTGAATTATGTAATGTCCAGTTTTTTTTTTTTTGTCACTATATATGTATCAGGAATAAACATCTTTGTTTGCCATCAATGAAAGTATTACACATCATAGAGAGAGAAAAAATTTGACAGTTTAGCTGACATGTAATAATTTTATTAGTGGGATGTATTGAATCTTTAGTGCAACAGTAGCACCAAAGATTTATTCGTATCATAGGTGAGCGTTCCTCTTCATTAGTCTGGAGTTCTACTATAGCAATCTAGAGGGATTAGAAGACAGAAAAATGATGTATTCGTTGGATGTAATTGCTTTTATTCTTTGATGCCTAGACTTCTGCATAGATTGATCTGCTTATAATAAAACACTGCATCACTTGTTTATATTCGGGGCTTGCAAATCATGAAAAACTCCCGGTGTTGTTCTCGGGGAAGGCATTATATTTCTACTTACGGTCTCTGGTTAAGGAATGTGGTCTGGGACCATCCTGTTGCTTGTAGAGAATCAATGAATGATCCAAAATTGGATCAAATAATGTCGGTGATTTTTTATTTTTGGTGAGGCTTTGGACCTATGTTGCGGTTCTGGTGGAGGAGTCTTCTCTAGTGGATTCCGTTGTGGCTCCCTAATGGCCTAATGGGTTATGGGAAAGCGGGGAAATGAATTTTTCCATATCTGAATTTGACCTATGTTCTGGTGTGAGAAGATTTTATTCATTCATTATTAATCAATCCTCATGTTAGAGTTGCATAGAAGCTTGATTTACCTTAATGAAATATATAGTTTTTAATTATTGTACTTGTAAACCAGAGAAGAATAAATGAGTCATTTAGATGATTGACCGTTACAAATTTGTAATTAAAAGTTATGAGTGGTCGAGATTTTTTTATTTTCTTCTTAAAATGAGATATGTTTATTTTTCAAACTTTTTATTTTTTAATTTTTTTAATTAACTAATTAGTTGCTCTTATTTTGTTTTATAATTTTCAATTAATTGTTTGTTCATTCTTATTGTGCTCTTTCCAACTTCTCTTCTCTTACTTGTTTCTTATTCTCGAAATATTTTGAGTTTCTTGAAGCATTTCTATGCACAAATGTTTGCATATAATTTCTCACTCCTATAGAATACTTTTTTTTGTAGCATATTTATTTGTACTCTATAAAAAAATGCTAGAATTATTTAGTTAAAAATTAGAGAGTTGAGGAATCAATTATAAATCTTCTATTTTTCTGAGAGATTCCTAGGTCGGTTATGCAATGAACGCGTGTTTATTTTTTTGTAGCGCTTGTTATTTATCATGATAATGTTAAGTTTACTACTTTTTACTTTTGTTTTTAATTGTAATTCTAGCTTAACAATCTTTTATACTATCATCGTTCTTCATGGTTGATCATTTAGTATTTGCAAATTGCAACATACGATCCTTTACATTCTGGTATGCAATGCATTTAGAGTTTTAGATGAGTAAAAAAAAAGAAAAAAACATAAAAACCATGATATGTGATGCAAAGAAGCATGTAACACGTACCTCTCAAGAGTTATAGACTTCATATTTTTTGACGAAGTCATGAATTAAGTGATTATAGTAAACTGTATTTATTAAGAATTCCTTTTGAATAAGTGTATTTCTAACACTACTTTCGTAATATTACACATATTTAATATTAATTACAGTAATATAATAAAAAATGTCTATCAAAGAATTTCAAATAGAATCAAGTTTGTGTTTTTTGAGCGGCAATTCAAAAGATGCAAAAAGAATAAGATTTGTTTTTTCAGCATTGGTGGTTTAATAAAAAATAGAATAAAATGTTGAGCACAGAAATTTT